TCCCACTGTAACTTTACTGTATAAAGAGCTAACATCTCCAAAATGTCAGGAGTAGTTAGTCATTACAACAAGTGTTTGTGAACTAAAAATCAAGAATGTGGGATACTGTTTTTCCGTGATTTGAACAGCCCAGCGCTGCTCCCGATGCAGGGAAAACCAATTCTGCAGGGGAGACCTACCTCGGCACTTGTGCAGGTGAAGCCAAAGGGAAGACATGCTTCACCATATTTTCTAGTCTTTGGCTTAGAATGAAGTTGGTTTGGAAACATATTCAGCGATGCTTCAGCTCCTGCTTTGCGTTTGTGTGGGCGCACCGTGCTAGCAGTGTCCAAGCGTTTTGTTTTGTTTTTATAAAGGAAACAACTGTTTTGTCCAAAGTATGCACTAAAGGCTTATTCCTGTACCAGGTGTGATAGTGTAGCTTGTGTTGCTTTACCTTGTAAGTCAGTCTTTGTATATATGTGTGGCAACACAACATTGTGTTGTAACTACAGAGAAATTTCACTCCTGTCTATAACTGAAAAATACTCTCTGAATCACTGTGCAGTATTGTGACAAAATCTTTACTGCTCCAAGAAAACGAAATTTTTAAAGATTTTCTACAGGCCTATTCAATAGCAGTGAGATTGACATTTCAAGGCAGAAACTGGCATGAAATGAGCATAAAGCATTACCTTCATACTGTTAGGATACCTGGGTCGTTGACCCAGAATTTTGAGTTTATTATATTATTTATCATTTCTAGTCTTTGGTTTCTTTGTTAGAGTTCTGTCTTATGGTTTATGTCTCTGTGTTCTCTAGTTGCTCTGTCTCCCCTGTCAGCTGTATCCCCTTGTCAAGTCCGCGTCTCTGTGTTATGTTTCCTGTTTTAATTTGAAAGTCAGTGTCTTATACAATACAATACAATACAATTTTATTTATATAGCACATTTAAAAACCACAGGTATGCCAAAGTGCTTCACAGAACGAGTTAGAGCAATAATAAATACAAATACAAAACACAAAATACAAATAAAATATACTAACAGACGGGTGACATAACTAGCCAATAATACACCAGGCATAGTAGGCACAACCTGAAAGGCTGAAGGTCAAAACATTATAAATATTAATAAAGCGAAAAAGATAACTTACAGTACACCAAAAATGCGGGCTCTAGGAGGCGGGGAAAGCAAGGCTAAACAAATAAGTTTTTAATTGAGATTTAAAAGATTGAATTGAATCAGACGCCCGAATAGCTTATGTTAATGTGTCTGGTTTTGCTTCCTTTGTCTCATTAGGCCTGAGTTGCCCCAGCTGTGTTTCCCTCCTGTTATCCATTCCCTGATTGCTCTCTCTGTGTATTTAAGCCCTGTGTTTCTCTGTGTCCGTGTCGTGATCTACCCTTATCCACAGTTTACCATGCTGTAACGCCTGCCTGTATTTATTGTTTGTATTTTGGAAGTTTGTTACTTTGAGTTCAGCATTAAAGCTGGGGTTTTTTGGGGGGTTTTTGTTTTATTTTTTTTGAGTTCACGTCTGTTTCCAGAGTCTGCACTTTGGGTCCTTTTCCTGCCTGAACACAGCCCTCACATAACACATACTGTTCATAGGCTTAATGGCAGTTATTCTTCACTAAACATATAAAATTTTATAGGTCCCCAAAGTCATAAGTCTCATAAACTCACTTAAGACAACATCCACATTGTGGTAAATTTTAAATCACAAATTTACCTAACAAGAATGTTAAAACCCATGCAGACAGGGAAAACACGAAATATTAAAGGAAAAAGAAAAGGCATTTTAAAAATTGTGAAAACCCTTTTAACAAATTTTCATGCCAAATTCACTGAAAGTAGCCTTTATGATATTACAGAGTGCGCACACTGAGTGAAAGACTTAAAATAACACCAGCTAAATTGTACAATTTTCAGAGGCAGTAACTTTTAGCTGCAATGCCACGAGTGACCACAAGAACACATAACAAACTGAGATTACATTAGCTGATATTTTATATTTTGTTGGCTTTGATTGTTAGGAAGCATGGGTTGTCTTGTTACTGCTCTCGATCACATAAATTACAAATTAAATATAACATGATTTCAAACTGTGTAATTGTCACTAATGAGCAGCTCTAATTCAACTACATTTTACTTTGTGGATTCAGCTGCCTACTGAGATTAGACGATTGACATACAGATTCACCGAAAACAAACACCGCAGGTGTAAATTTTTTTTATAAATGAATAAATTAAAAAGTATACAGATGATATATTGCAAAATATGGAGTCCTGATCAAGTTGATAAAATTGTTCATATTATTAATTTCAGATTTTCTTAGAAATTTTAAGAAGAGTTTCAGTTGTTCATGTTGAATATATTAAACAATCTGCTGTCTTTACAGATATATTGAAGCTGTAGAAGATTTATAAATTTTGATGGAATAAAGTATGACAGATTTACTTACCCTGAGTCTTTGAAAAATTCATCTTGTCAGCTGCTTAATAATGAACAGTGTGCAGATTTCACCAGAATCTGAAACAGCTTTGAAATGTGTCAGATGCACTCCTGGTATTATAGGCTGAGAGGTTAGCTCCACCCAGTGGGCGGAGTGCAGGAGCTGCTTTAGATTAAAACAGTGGAGAGCTGGGTTTCTGTTCATTAGCTAACAAGATAAGAATAAAGATGGGCAACGGTGCTGCAATCCCTGATGGTAAAGTTATCTCATGTTTATACTTATTCTTAATACTGCAGTAAGTGTGTATTAGGTGGAACTTGTTTCAGAGTAAAAAGTAAAAACAACAGTCTTTCTTTCTTTCTGCAGGTCCTCCAAGGAGGATTGTGATGATCGGTAAAACTGGTGTTGGGAAGAGTGCTGTTGGCAACACCATCCTGGGCAAAACGTATTTTGAATCTAATGTGAGCTCAGAGTCAGTGACGCAAACCTGTGAGTTTCAAAATGTTCCAAACTGTTTGAGAAGGATCACTGTGGTTGACACACCCGGCCTTCTGGATACGTCTAAAACTGCAGACATCATGAAGAAGGAAATCGCAAAATGTATTCAGATTACTACTCCGGGCCCTCATGTCTTCCTGCTGGTCCTACAGATTGGTAGGTTTACCAAAGAAGAGCAAAACTGTGTGGATGCCCTGGAAAAACTGTTTGGACCAAAGGCCTCAAACTACATGATTGTCGTGTTCACTCATGGTGACAAACTGACTAAGAAGGGCATAACAATAGAACATTATCTGAAAGAGGGCCATAAGAAGGTTAAACAGTTGCTGAACAGATGTGGTAACAGGTATCATATGTTTGACAACAGTAACATAAAGAACAGAGCTCAAGTTGTCAATCTGATCAAAAAAATTGATGAGATGGTGGCATCAAATAAAGAAACTTACTACACTGATGAAATGTTTGAGGAGGCAGCAAGAATTCTGGAGCTGAACAAGAAAAAAGAAACCGAACAACAGCTGACTAACAATGTACCCTTCATGTCTAATGTCAGGGAAAAAGTTCTTTTGTTTCAGAAGATCTTGGCAGAGGATGAAGCTGAGTAGGGCCACATTGATTAAATCTCGGACTCAAACATGGGACATTACTCTAATTAGTCCTCAGTTCATTTTTTAATTACACTGGCTCAATTGGTTGTCATTTGAAGAAAAAATAAATGTTAAGTTATAAAATCCTTTCTGACATGAATGGTTTAGAATTGTATTCAACTGGAAGATTTTCATGTTAATATTTTCCAACTTGTACAGACATTGCTCTTTACATTAGTTGTTTATGTTTATACACTATTCATTCATTTTCATCAATAAATAAGAAATTTCCTGGCCACTATTGTTTTTTTTATATATACATAAGATCAATCTTTCATTTAATAAAATGCTTTATACAGGAAATGTTTGATTTTCTTAATCTTATTCTTCAATAACTCTTGAGTTGTTTGAATTAAAAAAAAAAAACCAATATACTCATCTCAGAAACAAGCCTCCATCTTGATTTTAGAAAGTAGGTAAAAATATATTTCTTAAGAAATCCAAACATGAATTTTAAAATTTGAGCAGTGTGTAAAAGGGCTAGTGTACTGCATTGGCAAATCTGAAAGTGCTGGTGCAACTGGCACTTGTTCAACATTATGGTTGAAAAAGGTTTTCCTCGCTAATGTGCTAAAGTTTCTTATATCGCTGTTGGCCAAGAGAAAATCTATGTATAAAGATAAATCACAAAAGCTTGTTTACATCCTAATGCTCTGTTTCCCTTCAACATTGAGCATCAGCAGCTTGTCTACCACACTAGTCTTTGGTTTCCCCTAAAAATGTTTTATCCACAATGCAAATGCAAAAACAAATACAAAAGCTGCTGATCTCTCAGCTTTTCCATTGACCCAGGATACAGACATGCCCATGAAACTGAGACCCACTATAGATTCCAGTTGGTTCTGAG